AGAATGTGCAAAATTTCCGTGAATGCCGAGGGATCACGCGGAATTACGCGAATCACGCAAACTACGCAGCGCCATAACTCCCTTCAGAATGAATACGTACTGAATCCGGAAACAGCGTTCAGCTCTTCAAGGCAATCTTTCGATGTACAGCAAGTCCTCGATATTCATTTTCAGTTTTCTGAAATTCTTGTGCGGAGGTTCTTCCGTAAAGATGTAATGCAGCGCCTAATCAAAATATAAGATACCAATAAGTATTATTAGATAGTACTGTTCTTATAGATTATACTGCGCTAGAAAGTAGCCGCAGATCTTTCCAAAGGAACTAGAAGAGCTGGTTAAGTCCGGAAAAATCATGTCGTCCTAAATCTCGGTATCCTTGAGGCAGAGTTCACGCAATTTCATCATCGCGATTCAATCGCGACAAGACAACTGTAACAATGCCATTGCATGCCGATCTTTTTGCATTTCGATTGTGATAGTTCCCAACACGATTAATCGTGACTAATTATCACAACCGAAATACAAGAAGATCGGCGTGCAACGAACTCGTAACACTTGTCTTGAAGCGATGAATCGTGATCGTGATGATAATCGCGTGAACTCTGCCCGAGACCTAACTCTAAAGTATGATGCTCTCTTGCTAAGCAGATGTGATTTTCGTAATTAGCAGTTCAAATAATTTTTATAAGCTTTTCCGAGATGTTCGGGTTAACTCATTTTTTTTTCTCGTTTGAGGCTCTGAAACTCGCCTATGGATTTTGGTCAAAATGATGATCTTGGATTGTAAGGAAGCTTCGCTTATAGAGGTTTTCGGACACGCTGTTTATGAAAATGGTGGTCTTTGATAAATACAGGGTCTTTTTGCAGAGTAATGGTGTGGTAACTGTAATTGAGTCAGAAAGTTGGTAACTGTCTGCGCTTCTCGCATATCTGCCAGAAAACTCGCCTACTTGCTTTTGGGTTAAAGTTGGTGGGAACTGTGCCATCGACTGGTACAAATTTCAGGATCCAGTCTATAAAAGTGGCCGAGTTACGAGCCTACGAAAACACTCCTCGTCAATTTTGCACAAAATGTAAAGATCGCATACTTTGTCAAAATTCCAACATGAGTGGTTGTGTAACATGATGATCAAATCGTTCGCATCGCTTAATGGATCTTCCTATATTGGATTTGATAGTTGGATAGATCTGAGTTCTAGCTACAAAACTGCTTTGATATTCACTTGAAGGCAGTGCGTCGGCAAAACTCAACAACTCAGAATTTCAACGCGGTGGGTTCCTTATTGCCCAAGTTTGAAAACAGTGCAATCCCGGTTGCGCAGCATGCCTTCCCTGCCGAGAAAATTGCTCTCAAACTTACACGCGCAGACTAATTTTACACGCATCCGGACGAGTTTTCCTTCTCACCATTGTAGTTTTCCTTCTCACCCGCCGCAATACTATAACCATTGGGTTCTGCAACGATCAGCGTCATCAGCCCTGTCCACTCGTCCAATTCCAAAAAGAAGGGCATTTAACGCTCGTTTTCGCCGTTTTCAAGCTTTCAAAAGTGCATTTTCGGGATCAGCGTATTGAAGAACCCCAGGTAAGCGAAAATTTCACTAGGTTGAGATTTGCCGAGCCACTGCCTTTAAGCAACTGAAGCACACGCTACCATTATATTCAATATACTGGGAGATCCCTTGGGCGAAGCGACATATCAATCGCAGACGGTCATACAACCCTCAAGGTGGAATTTCGACGAAGTATGGGATTCTTACATTTTGGGCAAAATGCATGACGTGTTTCGTAGGCTCGTAACTCAGCGAATGTTACAAACTGGAGCCTGAGACGTATTGCACTCGATGGAACATTTCCTAGTAAATTAAACCTATAAAAGCAAGCAGGCAAGTCTGCCAGATACGCGAGAAGTGCAGGCGAAGCGAACTTTCTAACTCAGTTACAGTTACCACACCATACCTCTGCGAAAAGCCCTGTATTCCTCAAAGACCACGGTTTTCGTAATTAGCGTGTCCGAAAACCTCTATAAGCGAAATTTCCTTACAATCCATGATCACCAAGATTTTGACCAAAATCCATCGAAGAGCTTCAGAGCGTGAAACGAGAAAAAATGAAATAAGCCGAATCTGAGCTGGTGATTAAATCACATCTGTTTAGCAAGAGCTTCATATTTCAGGTTGAGTGAAATTTAAAACGACATGATTTTTCCTGAATATTTCCTTTGGAAGGAAGTCTGCGGTTCTTTTTTACACCCATAATCTAAGAAAAGTACTTTCGAAGGATCCTTGCTGGAATCTGCATATTAGGGGCAATGCGCGCTGCTTTACACCTTTGCAAATGGAAGTCCGCAGAATTCAGACTGAATTCGGAATCAAGGACATGCTGTCTCTTGAAAGATTCATCTTGATGCTAAGCACAATGAGTTTTCGGATTCAAGGACTATTTGTTCCGAAGGAAGTTACAAAGAGTAGAATTTGCGAACGCGGTTCTTTCCGAATTCAGCAACGCTTCTATCTCTTTTGGAAAGAAGTCTGTGGCTACTTTCTAACGCGCTATAATTAATAGGAATAGTACTGTCGAATAATTCAGCAAGTTTCGACTTGTTAAGCGGAAATTGGATTGGCGGGCGTCTGCCTCGCAATGGTTCGCGCCGTTTCAGTTACAGTATGTCATATCGTGCTGGGAGCCCGAGTCTGTGCCTCTTCATTCTCCTTATTCTGTGATGGAGAAAATATCAGCGCTATGCTCCACGTAGAATGTTCGCCTAATTGGGTATGAAACTGACTGTACTTATTGGTAAATCGCAAAGTTTGAGCTACGGGGCTGGGAGAGTTGGTACATGGGAGTAATCGAGCATGCTGATTACATACGATATATTAGTTTCAAAATTATTCGTCGCTTTTATAGGTTCTATCGATTTTTTGCAAATAAGCTATGGGGCTGGAAGTTTGCACAGGGGATAAGTGAGCATGCTGATTACTACACAGCGGGATAGGGAATTTGCATGAAGAAGTGGGAGGGAAAGATTGCGCAGGGGAAGGGATGGGACCACGGCCCAGCACTCGTTGGTTTGGAGCATTTATGGAAACCAAGTCCCCTATAAATTCGCGAAAATTTACGAAGTCTCTTTTGACGAAGTCAGTAGGAAACCCTTGTTTAATGAACATAACAAAACATAACGACAAAAAAGCGAAAAAAGCGAGTTTCGAGGTACCTAATACAACAAAAAAGCAAAAAAAAAACATTCTTCTGAGTCGATTACATTCTTGAGTATGGTATAGGGGCCTGCAGGATCGCGAGAGTCAGACGCGCGTACGGCCTTTGCGCCGCGCACGCCTGATATCGCTGGGTCGTAGTCGATTAAGGCTAGATAGGTAAGTTTTTTTTTTTGTTTTTCTTTACATTTCACGCCTTCTTTTCTTTTCAGACGGTGAGCACATGTTGGTGCGGAGGAGTTTAAGATCTGAATTAAGGTGAGGTTCAGGATTATGCTCAATACGGACTCAATATTGCAGACCTTCCATGCCTGCTGGTTGAGATGTTGGATTTTCTGTCCTGGCTGCCCTGTTACAGCAAACTGTTCTATTTCTACCGTCTATTCTACCTTATCTTGCATATTGCTTGTGATGATGATGATGATGATGACAATGATTATGATTGTGATGACGCGCATGATGCAAGATGAGGTAGAACAGACGTTGCAAATAAAACGGAGTTTCGTAACCGGGCAGGCAGGACGAAAAATCGAACATAATCGGACAGCCAGAACAGAAAACTCAACATTCTTCAAAGCGGGGGTGAAAAGTCCACAATATTGGCCCGTATTGAGCATAATCCTGCACCTCACCTTAATCTAGATCTTAAACTCCTCTGCACTAACATATGTTCGCCGCCTGAAAAGAAAAGAAGGCGAGAAATGAGAAGAAAAACAAAAAAATCTCACCTATCCAGCCTAAATCGAGTAGACCCAGTGACATACGACGTGCGCGGCGCGATGGCCGTACGCACGTCCGACTCTCGCGATCCTGCAGGCCCCTATACCATTTTAGTGTTCAGAACGTTGAAAACCTCTTAGGCCAACCAAATCTGTGACCACAACAATCTGGCAACGCGTTTTTCGCCGCATAGTTCAAAGGACACCGCATGTGACTGGAGCGCGATATTTATCAATGCTTTAGTTTACACTATTTTTGGCTTAAAAAAGACGAGAAGCAGTGGTTTGATTCGCTCTCTTCGCTAGATGATAGATTTTGCAGCGTTCTCTCCTTCCAAATTAAAAAGGTCCAAAACCTATGTGAACTCTCCGATATTTATGCTCCAAACCAACCCAGTTGGTTTGGTGTTGGTGTAGAAACCAACAAATTTGGGAACGGGTATTAGGACACATAAGTTTTTTAAACTTTTTACATAATGTGGTTTGGAGTAATATTGTATATACATAGCCCAATTCGGCGTCATGTGATTGTTTGTGCGCTGTAAACAAGCCATTATTTGTTTGGGTCTTACATTCGAATTTCGCGCGCTTGCCAAAGACACGTTCAACTCGTAAACTTGACATGTTTGTCTGTTTGTTTGTTTTGTTTGTTTTTTTTCGGTGCTTCGCCCTGGACCTTATAAAAACGATATCTCCGTTGCTTCTAATCTCAAAAACGAAGTCTAATTTGACCACGAACCATTTGCGCCGAGCCCTGGATGCTCTATTATGGTGTCTTGACAGGGCCGGGCGAAGCCGCTGCTCTATTATGGTGTCTTGACAGGGCCGGGCGGAGCCGCTAAGTCAGCTAGCATATGTATAAACTCAAAGTGTGTTTGTCTTTTAATAATTATTTTTATACACATTTTTCTGAGTGAACCAAATGTGCTGAAACTTTGCACCTTATGTTATCGACTTCTGCGGTTGTTATAAGCTACTTTTTTGCGTGACACTTAGCCTCTCTATCGATTTATTGATTATTTTTACATCTACGAAAAGAAAGCTTGTCAACCTTTCTTCAAGTGAAGTAGTAAGGGGCGGTAGAGGTCATTCACATTTTGCGAGGATAGAATGCGGTGTCACGAAGCGTGGCGGTCAAGAAGGAAGCCATCTTCACCATGGAATCACTAACTGGGAGCTATAGCAGGAAAAGAAGAAAAGATGCAAACTGAAGGAAAGGGAGGAATGATAAGCCATAACTTTGAAAAAGATGCTATGCTGGGCCACTTTCGACCCTAGGTCCTGGCGGGACTGAGAAAGCCAGCTAGTTACATATAAAAAAGAAGAGGTAGATTTCAAAACGGTAGTTCATTGACATAAACAGCTTGTTGTGCTACTAATCGAAGCTGAGAAAGCAAATTTTGCAGCTCTATGGTGGTGAAGCCTTTGTATAGGGTTTCATCACAGTCAATCACAATATTATAATGTACAGGACCGGTGGAAGGGTGCCAACACCTGAAAGAGGAAACACTGATAACGTGGTAATCTCTCAAGAAAAAAAAATAGCACAGAAACCTTCGTAAATCACAAGCCCACCAACACGGGCTCAGTGACATTCCCCATCCTTTGACTTTGAAACGTTGCGTGGAAAGATTTTGCTCGGCGTAGTACACTCCCTTGATTGATGATGTTTTTATCATCTGAACATTTCGTATAGATACCACCCAGTGGCGTACCCAGGATTTCCGCTCAGGGGGGGGGGGAGGGGGGGGGGGACAAAAATTTTTTTTTAAATGAAGGTGCGTGGCGATAGCCGCGCACTCCGAAAAAATTTTAGGGGTGCCTCTCAGAATTTTTGCGGGTCCCCAACCCCTAAAATTTGGAAAAAGGGGCGTGGCGTCAGCCACGCCTCCGAAAAAAATTTTTTTACAAGGCTAATTTGAATTTTTAAAAACTTTTAAAAGTTATTTAAATTATTTACAAGTATAAACAAGTCACTTGCACGTTTTTATAACCCACATAAGTAACTTTCAAAAATTTCGCGACCCATTCTCGGGGGGGGGGGGGCCTCATACGCCACCGTTACCACCCTATTTTATAGAGTAACTAGCTGGCTTACCCGGCTCCGCCGTATGTTCCGAATAGAAAATTCCATTTCTTAACCGATCCGGACCAAACTTGGCACACATACCCTTCGGGCCCCGGCGGGTGTCACTGTCCACTTTTCGTTATCGATCGATGTCGATTTTATCGATTTTTTGCAAAATTTGAGCTACGGGGCTGGGAATTGGCAGAGAGGTGTAATCGAGCATGCTAATTACGAATACAATATTAGTTTTCGAAACCGTGCATTACTTTTATCGATTTTATCGATTTTTGCAAAATTTGAGCTAGGGGCTGGAATTTGGCAGAGGGGTGTAATCGAGCATGCTGATCACGCTAGCTCAAACTTTGCAAAAAAAATCGATAAAAATCGATAAAATCGATATCGATCGATACGAAAAGTAGCCTGTGACACCCGCCGGGGCCCGAAGTGTATGTGTGCCAAATTTGGTCCCGATCGGTTCAGAAATGGAATTTTCTATTCGGAACATACGTACAGACAGACAGACAGACATACAGACAGACAGACATACATACAAACAGACATTCAGCTTTATATATAAGATTTTGCATAGGAGCATTAATCGATGTTTGTGCTTCTTATGTCTCAGAATGCAAACATAATTTGCTGTATATACTGAATCGTTCTCTAGAAATTCCTTTCGTTTTTTGAGCTTACAATTAAAACTCGTAGGACGAATACAATCAAGCAATTCAAAAAGTTCGATGCAGCTTTTTTCCTCGAAAAGTTTCCATACCAATTTGCTTTCGTGAAATAATAGCCAGAATTTTGAACCCATCGTTTTTGCCACATTCAAGCTAGGCAATTCCTCAAAATTTCCAGTCTCAACATCTGGAAGGGCTGTGATAACAAGTGGATAGAGTATAAAGTGCAATACAACAAATTTTGTCGGTATTTCCAAGAAGCTTTCCCTATTCAAATATGATTTTTCCTAGTCTACACTTTTGCAAAACCGTGTAATAGACGATCGCACCAAACACTGGGAACTCCTCGAAATACAAAAATTCCATAACTTGATTATCATTCAACACTAATTTCACAAGGCGCTCCCCTCTTGCGTGCCGAGTTTGTTGCGCCATAGGCGCGTAAAAATTCAAAGTTTGGATGAATTCATTTCCGAAAGTTCCACAGAGTGAGAAAAAACGCATTTCAAAAAAGGAAAAAAAGCTGCACCCAATAGTATGCGAATTGCTTGTTGGTGATGTCCTTCGAGGTTCGACGTAACCGGACATGGAATTTGTTAACTTCAAAGGTAATTATGAAAGCTAGCTGGAGATGCCAAAAGAAAACTGCAAAGCTGTCCTTTATTGCCCCATCTAGATGTTATTGAAACTCTTTCAGAAGTTCAAAAAAATAGGTGTGAAAAATTGCCAAGTTTGGGCATGGTGACCTTGGTTTTGAAGTTTTCTTAGTAAGCACAAAAGTAAATGGTTTCGAAATGCCATTGCGGAAAGAAGAAGGAAGACTGAGTCGAAAATCTTTGAAGTGTCTCTTCTTCATCCCACGTGTTATAAGGAAAGATTGGTAAAACCTAATTTTTTTGAACACATAATAATATATTGAGAAAGAAAAGGTTTGGATAAACACCATTCTTACCTTCCCAGTTCCAATAGGAAAGTAATAGCATTTGATATACAAATAATCGGGTGTGAGTTCAGACCATTTGTCCTCAAACAATGTTTTAGCCATCTGAAAGGAACAGAATTTGTACAAAGTCTGATATGCGTAAAGGCCGTACCTTTTTTTTGCTACTAATTTCAATTAAAATCAGTATGCGAACGTTATGCAGAGGGTTTGAGTTTATCAAGTGTTACTTACTCGCAAATAGCTCAAGGAACAAGCGAAGGACTTTGTGTTAGTACAAATTTCGTTATTCCACTGTTTTATAATACTTTTGAATGTACTCCCTGCATTTGTGTAGCTTTATTTCGTTTATTGGCGTTTCGCTGAAACTCAGTCTAGGGCGATTATTCGACCCGCTGGTGCCGAATATCATAACGATTTTGCGCGGTACCGCTATTTCGAAGGGTTACGGTGGGCATGCGGTAAAGGGTCAAAGTCACGGATTTTCCTAACACTTGGCTTAGGGGGCTTATTTGACGCGCTGATCACAAATATCATGCGTTCTCTTTCGTTTTCATTCTTGAATAAGGTTCAAAGTACCATTCGATAGAGCAAAGCAAGCTCTACAAGATGGCAATCTTGCTTTAGCAACAACTCTTATCTACCTTGAGTTTCGAGCCAAAAACTAAAAGGATTAACTGCCCGAAAAATCGAGAAAAATCATAACTCTCGGAAAGTTCGACTTTCTATAAATCTCATCATGATGAATACTGTTACTACTCGACTTAATCATAACTCTGTTCATAAGAACCTTACAAAAATTCTAACTTGCTCACGTAAATACTATTCAAATAAGACATATATGTGCGCCGTTGCCATATTTTTCCTCTGTTAGAAGTCAAGAAAAGGGAAATTTTCATGTTTTTGCCAGAGTGATGCTGTGCCGTCCCCACATAAGTAGATGTATGCTACAAATCTGTAGAAGTACAAAGGTGGACTTTCGCTCTCTACAAGCTTTAGTTCTCGAGAAATTCGAATTTTAGCTTGGATCACCTGACTAATGAAAGCTTCGATATTTCTCGAGAACTAAAGCTTGTAGAGAGCCGAAAGTTCACGTTTGTACTTCTACAGATTTGTAGTATACATCTACTTATGTGGGGACCGCACAGCATCACTTTGGCAAAAGCAAGAAGAATTCCGTTTTCTTGATTTCTAACAGAGGAAAAAATACGGTAACGGCGTATATATATATATATATATATATATATATATATATATATATATATATATATATATATATATATATATATATGTCTTATGTGGATAGTAGTTTACGTGAGCAAGTTAGAATTTTTGTAGGGTTCTTATGAACGAAGTTATGATTTTTCTCGATTTTTCGGGCACTCAATCCTTTTAGTTTTTGGCTCGAAACTCGAGGTAGATCAGAGCTGTTGCTAAAGCAAGATAGCCATCTTGTAGGGTTTGCTTTGCTCTATCGAATAGTACTTTGAAGCTTATTCAAGAATGAAAAGTGTTTGACTTATTGCGGTTGAAATTCAAAACGGACATTAATTTCCGGACACCCTAATACACGTACACTCAATAAGCCCAGAAAAAAAAGGGAAAGGGAGAACAAAAAACTCCTGGTTCTACGTATAGAATGAAAATAACAGGCAACACTAGGACTTGAAAAGGCAGTTTAAAATTTCGAGTTCAAAGCTCATTTTAACTAGAGAGCTCACAGGATACATTCTCACACGCAACGGTCTCATTCTGAACTTTCTTGTCGAAGTTTTTTTTTTTCATGACAAAACTTTTGATTATCTTCCGAGTAGACCTGACTAGAGATACAAATGCGATGTGGCATTCTGTATGGAAATACGATTTCAAGAGAATTCAACCGTATTGCTGTAAAATAAAACATAAAAGGTTTTTTATCTACACAGCTTCAAAAAGTTGCATCATACGTCTGAAAGGCATACCTGGCAGAGGTTTGTAAGGATGATTAGAACTTTGGAATTTTTAAAAAGGTGCACACATTGAAAAAGCGCTTGTGTTCATTTACGAACGAATGAAGCCTCTGTGGAAAAGAATTGAACGGATCACTTTTTATAAATCGCCAAGCCCAACTAAGAGAGTGGTTCTCACATGATGTGGTGATCAATTCCCTGTGAAAACAAACAACAAACTATGCGCCTCCTCATTCAGCCATACGATTCCGAAAGAAGGTTCTAGGAATGTTGTTGGAAGATAGAGAGGAATAAAAAGTACATAACAACGATTAATACAAAATAGGCTTAGAGGAGAAACTATATTGTTTACATGAGCCATTTATCAGACATATTGATTCCAGTACAAGCACGTGAACTGCGCCATTAGTCATCGTAGGCGCATGGTCAGCGCTGCCAACGATTTAAAGAAATGCTGCTAATGCCTTGCCTGTTCTGCAGCTATCGACTGATAGCGACCGATCTTACTGCTAGGCAACGCTTTGGCAATCAAAAATTGTTTCGAATTGGCACCTAGTTGAAGTTGCAACTTACAAGGAAGGTCCGTTTGATCGAAGTGGCACATTTTCACATGGAACTGGTACGACTGTAAAAAGCATCGAAGCTGATTCCAAATCTATCCTCGTTACTGCCGAGCGCCTCTGGACGTCGAGTTATGAGCATTTTTTTGGGTAGAAAAATTGATTGCATAATCAGAATAAAATTCGTTAAAGTTGCTCAAATGGTCCAATGTTGATTATCAGACACTGATCTATTTGAGCGCTGATAAGACTGTAAAGTTGGATTTTACCTAGATTATGCGTTCATTTTTTGTACTAAGAAAATATTCATAACTCGGCATGCAGGGGCGCTCGGCATATAATGAAATCAGATTTGGAATCAACGTTCGATGCTTTTTAAAGTGTAATAAGATTCATGCCACTTCGACTGATCGGACCTCCCTTGTTGATCATAACTTTTTTCATTTTGAATGTAGCGCGCTCATTTTTTTGGCATTATATAGTTTGATGTAAACTTCAGGACTGCCTAAAGAGTTTGATTTCTGAACATAACAGAACAAATGGCATTTTTCAATATTCGTTTAACCTCGAAATTTTATAGTTTTTGAGCAGAAATGAAGCCGTGCATAACCTATATCAAACAACAAGACGAGATCATGGGCAATGACTTGCTAGAAACAACGAAATGAATTTGACGACAAATTAAAGATTTGCGCTTTAAAGGGGCTTCCATTAACACATTGACGACCGCCTGACATTGCTCGACACACGATGTGTGTCAAGCAATGACTAACCATGTGGAACTGCTTAATATACATGGTGCGTTAAGGTTTGAGTTTGGTGAAAAGGCGACTATTCCGGGAGAAACTCATTCAGGAGTTCTCTCTTGCGTTGGAGCTAATAATAACCTCTATCTGTTTTGTCAGTCTCACAGATCTACTGTAGGGGTACTGTAGATGGCAGTACGCGTGATTTTATGTGAAGATGTTGACTGATCCATGACAGCCCTTGGTCCCAAAAGGAGACAGCTCAAAATCTGTTCGAGAGGGATAAAGCCTTAAATAAATCTGTCTGCAGAAAGGTAATTGCAATGGAAGAAAAAGGACTTGTCTGCAACGCGAACTTAGTAAGCCTTATCTGTTAGATTTTAGGCTAACAATTGAAACTGCATGTTGCAGTGAGATACTGTGCAATCAGTTTTTGCTGTAAGCACAATATTAGTAGTCCCACGAAATTAACATGAGCTGGTTTTTCTTGAAACCTAATCAAAACATAATCTAAAAGAATAGAGACGTTCTAGCTTTCATAGTTTTATTTCAGCACTTCCCAAAAAATCAATGTTCCAGGATAAGGCCACCATGGTCAAACTAGATCTATAACGATAGTAGGCTAGCTTAAAATCTCTGAGCCACACAGAGCTCAAGTCTAGTTACTAGAGAGTCTCCTGGAGCGTTTGCATTATGAAGACCAACATAACATTTTGCTAAAAGCTTTGTCTAGGGAGGTTTCTTCTGATTAATGTGGATGAAATACTATTCAACCAACCCACCTTCGCCACAGCTTTCTTTCCTGTGTTACCGTTGCGTTTACGGACACGAACCCAGTTATCAGCTCTCTTATCTCCGTTGTAATCTGATCACAAGATTCAAAAAAACTGCTCAAATAATTGATTTCATATGTTGAAAGCAGTATGATATCACTTTTACTATCAAATGGCAATTTCAGTGATGCCCTCTGATCTAGCTAATAATAGTATAAAACTATCTGAACTTTGTGGCACATGATAGCGAAATTTTCTGAGGGTACTATTACTATTGGGTTGGATTTTTGGATCTTTTGAAGGTAGCATCTCGTAGTGGACTACCGTTCTTGCAAAAAGTCGCATTCTTCCTATCTGTACATCTTCCGGTACAGCTCAAAGATTGCCAAGTTTAGATGTGAGCTGAGACAAACTCTTTGCATTACTTCTCCGAGACGTCACATTCTACATATTTTTGCTCTTTATTTTGATATATTACGTATTTAAAGGTGCGAAGCCTTGATTTTTTTGAGTTGAGTATCGTACACTAGCTATGAGATTAGGTCAGTAAAAACGACTGATTGACAGCTCTGCTTGCTCACATGAAAGTCAACCAGTCAGCAAATATTCATTGAAAAACGAATAAGTCCATTATATACAAGAGAATATACAAATCCAACACATGATATAAAGAGAAAAGTCGAAAACATAAACGAAACGTTAATCACCGACTGCAGAATAGACGACTAAAATGGATTTTTAAATAATTCTGTGAGCACTTTTCGGATTTTATTCTCTGATTAGTCTTTTTTCTGGTTTTCATAGAGAGCGTAAAAATCGACACATGCGAAAAAGTGGAAACGGTAGCTCATGGATGATTTCTTGTGCTATTTTTCAACTGAGGCGCGATCACAGGATCATGGCATCTTACAATCATAAAAAATTAAAATTACCGAGAATTTTGCATGGGAGGGCGAATAGGGCGATGGATTTAATCCGCTGTCCAAGAACCATACCCAGTGGTCGCATAACGATTTTTGGCGAACTTGTTGCAAGTAAAGCTATTAGTTTCAGGGAAGAAATCGCAAAAGTTAATAAAACTATTATACTGAATATAAAATATCAATAGCATATGCCTGATATCCGTAACCAGCACGTCGTACGACTAAGGAGATTTCCAGCAAGTTTGTGCTTTTGAGTCAACTGTGCATCTTACAGAGTCTTGATCAAAATATTTAATTTAAAAAGCTCGCTTGAGACTGATGCAATCTGATACAGTAACTTTTAATGTGCAGTGTCTGATAAAAATCAAAGTTAATAAGTTCTACAAATAAACTGCTCCTAAGCCATGGCATTGGACGGAAAACGCTAGTGGCCAAAACAGCAAATAAAGTGCTCTATCTTATCAATTATCTTTACCGTTTTGACGGCTTTTGAAAGCTTGATCGAAGTATTTACGGAATTGCGGTTAGTTGCATTTTCGCGGGTTCTTGACCCCGAACACTCGTGTTTTGAAGGTATTTCGATATTTCTGATCAATCGCGCGTACCTCCTCAAAAACCAAAAGCTTTTTGCTAATCGTTGATTTGGCAATGAAATTTGCGCCTCTTCAAAAACATCTAAAAGCCCATTAACCCGTCGATCACCTTTCTGACTACTCTGCAAATTCAAGCACTAGTGGAACTATTTCGTTCTGAATCAGCGGGTCGCGTTACGTGTGCTGGAATTCAAAGCAGGACTGCGCTTCAGCAATCCGAAGGGTGTTCATTGATTCTTCAGGGCACTGCCAGACGAAGGCGTAAAATATAGGCGCGAACGCGGTTTCGATAGCTGCGGAGCTCATGAGACGCAGGGTTCACAATGATGTACCCTCGATTCGTTGACCGCACGGAATGAACACCACCGCGGAGCATGCGCCGCGAGATAAAACACTTCCCCAATACAAATTCGCCATTTCTACGAGTCGTGCATTCGCAACATTTCCGCCGCGCCGCGGTCCGCGAAGTTTGAGCAGTGCGTGCGGTCAGATCGACGAAAACTAAGGCTCCCGCCAGAGTGCCGAAGTTATGCCAGAGCTACGCCAGCATTTCGATCGATACACGTGTATTTCGTTGGGGCGGGGCTAGCTCAGCAGGTAGATGTCCCCAACGAAATACACGTGTATCGATCGAAATGCTGGCGTAGCGCTGGCATAACTTCGGCACTCTGGCGGGAGCCTAAGCGCGAGCCGCGCTCGCGCCGCTTCGCTAATATTGCCTTTGCGTCTTCGTCCAACATAGGGTTTACTTTGAACACAGTGATTATACGACAATAAAAAATTAAGTGCCATCACATCAGTGGACATCTTAGACTCATGCATGAAGAGGTACCAATTCTACAAGCGAAGTCAATTATCTCATAACCTCACTGAAGTATATTGCTCTAAATGCGTATGACTATGCACATGCGATAAATGGACACGGTAAATCAAAAAGGCAACTCATTTAGATAAAGCGCATGCGGTGCCACCAGCTTGAGCTGCCGAAGAAACTCCGAAATTTTGATAACGGTGAATCCTTTGTAGGTTTGTTCTCCGCAGTCTATGACGACATTGTAATATGTGTTAGAAGAGCCATGACAGCACCTTAATAAGAAGAGATATTGATGTAAGCAGTTTTGCTAGAAACGCGCACCTGAGTGTATCACACGCCCACCAACACGGAGTTATGGCCATTCCCCATCCTTTGACTTTATACCATTGGTCAGCAAGATCTTGCGCAACATAGTACACTCCTCTGATTGTTGTCGAGTCAATTTTCTGGAAGTCAGATTCACGAAATTGCTGTTTCTAGCGTTGAAGCGACTTCATTGTTTTGATAGTACAGTTGATATTTCTCACCATTGATAGCCATCAATACTGAGAAACTGGCAATTAGTCAGTTTGAATATTACAGACGTGAATCATAAAATTCTGCACAAGATATGATGAAACAGTTACCTTTCTCCTTCCTATAGGGAAGTAGTAACATTTGATCACGAGATGATCAGGTGTGATTTTGCACCATTCATCTTCAAAAAGGACCTTTCCCATCTAGAATTACAACAATGTGATGTATGTGATATGTACATTGTTTTTTACTAATGAACACTGAATTAAAAAATTCTGATTGATTCTGCTGGGAAAGTGAAGCAAATATACGTATATGAGCAATCCATGCAATGAACAAAGAAGTCAGCTCTCAATAGCTGCACCATATTACGTCTGTACACATTACAAGTGTCAGAAAATCGATGTTTGGCGTATCAGTTGATAAGTACTTGAGCCTTTTCGTTCAATGAAAAACTCAACCCAATTAGAATGCAACGCATTTCTAGTCAACACGCATCGACACCGCCCAAAGAAAGCGACTGTCTATTCACAAACTCAAATGCTCCGGACATATTTGACGCCATTTCAGTTGCCACGCGTTCTGACAAACTACTTGATATTCAACGCTCTGCAGATCACAAATGATTAATGTGTACGACTTTCGTAGATCAAAGCCTCAACTTTTGAACATTCAGAATGCGCTTACGGTGACTTTTGGACAATTGGAGATTTGCCGGATAATATCGCGCTGAACATTTCCATGCATCGGCCCAGCGGTCAAAGGTGACAGTTGTTCAATCTCTTCCCGTTTATGGGTAGTCCAAAAGTGGGCTTTGGAAGTGAAGGGACTGCCTTAGTCCACTCTCCATATGGTTCTTCAAGGGGAAACGGACCTGCAATCCACGGGCATTAAAAGCCTCTCTCCTCCTATCCAGGGATTGTTCCCTGAGGCCTAATCGTTACGGTATTTAGTGACTACGAACGAGCTGCTGGACTGGATCATGGGTAAAAACGTTCATTGCTCGTTGACCGAGCATACCTAAGTTCTGACTGACCCACTAAGTCGTGAATGGCCGGCCCATAGAGCTGAACCCAAATTACGGACGCCGCTTCTGAAAGGAATCGTGCGGAGAATGTGCTTCAACGACTCCTGAAAAGACTTTGGAACGCCGATGTAGCAACCGCGACTTCTTCGCGACACAAGATGGAATCAATGGCGAAGAACTTCTATACCAATCGCTTTTCATCAGAGCCCGTTCCTCCGCCCGTTGTTCCCGCTGGAGAATTACCATTATGGATTCTATAGGGCATTTGAAAAATCGTGATGTGGCGCGAACGCGCGCGACACGCACGCCACTTCCGGAAATCGCATTTTCTTGGTTTTCATCTCTAATCGAATGTTTTTTCTGCTTAGTATAATAATATATAGACACTAGAAGTGGCAGAGCTAAACGTTGAAGTGATGCTTTTTTGTATGAGCGTTTTGTGCTCATGTGGCCGCAAAGTCCGCAGTAAAATCCGTCGTCACGATTTTATAAATGAACTATACTCGCTGGAGTGCTCACCGCGATCAAGATTTTGAAGGATTCCACGGCTCCAGGACCAGATGATCGTACCATTACATTCGGAGGACATCGTCTATACGAGATTCTCGCGTCGTACCTAACATGCTACCCTCAGAAGGCAATGACCCTCGACCAGCCGTCCTTCTGTTCAAGGGGTTCAACCGGGAGGATTTTCGGAGTTACCGTGCAATATGCCTGCTGAGTGTGCTGTACAAGCTTTTCACGGAGATCGTTTTTTCACTCGCATATCAAGTATGCTGGTGAAGTCCAGCCCCAAGAACAAGCTGAATTTCGCAAAGGATTCAGCTGCATAGACCACATCCAGACGGTTTCGAGAGTCATAGAAGTTTGCCGGGAGTACCGCCTTCTTCTCGCTTTAGCCTCCGTCGACCACGAGAAAGCCGACAGCGTCGAAACCCATGCCATACTTTTGCGATAGTCGATCAAAGAGTAAACCAAGCTTGGTGAAACTATTAGCCCTGCTATAGTACTGTTCAACCAGGATGCACTATTCCATCATCCCTGACCATTCTTGGGAAGGGATTTGACAAGGTGACACTAATCGTCAAAGCTGTACAAAGGCCTTCCAGTAAGTGATGAAGTCACTGGACTGGGACGAGAGAGGCACACGAGTTTCTGGAAGACTCCTTTCGTTTTGCGAATGACATCGTTCTCTTTTCAACGAGTATCGCTAAAGCAGAGACGATGCCAAAAGAACTAGACGAAATAGGGAGGAAGATCGATTGCGAATAATGGCCGCATGCATTAACATAACCGCGGGAAGGGATCGCAGCTTCAGAAGAAAGCTTCATATCCTGAAGCTTTAGATATCTGGATTTCGCGTTGTCTACCTATCCTTAAGTGCTCCCACCAGCCTTCACTAAGAACACATTGAACGGGAGCAAAAAGCTGTACAAGCCGCATTTTCCAGCTTTTTTGTGATCCCCTGATGACCCCCTGCGGCCGAAGGTCCTTTCTTCAAAGTCATTTTTCTTCCTTCAAAGTTAACGACCTGCCAGAGTTGTACTGATTATCTAACCGAACATAACAAGGGAATGGTCAGAAGTCGAAGTGGTCAATCCAAGCAAGCTACCCGTCTTTGCGTGCAGCGAATTACCTACACCATTCTCATTAAAAGCCCTCAATCAGATTTTCAAAAAAAAATTGTTTTTTGTTGTATTAAATTGTATCAAATACCACGAATGCTTTTACGTCAGTTAATTGTTATGTAAGTTAATTGAAGGTTTTCCTGATTTGATGATGATGATTTTATTTTTTTTTGTTGTTTTGTATACACTCGTGGTGCACCACAAAACCAACCGAAATCGAACAGAATATCTGGCAACACAAAAGATGAGGCAAAAGACCAGCCAGTCCTCAGTCACCGGAAAGAAGAGCTATGTAAATGGAACACAACACGAACAAATAATACCGAAGCCCTATCATGACATTGTAGACATTAGATTGTATGCATCAGCAAAGACGAAAGAAACATGCTTTGTCCATAATAGTCTCTAGAATCTTGCTTCTTCTAGAGTTTATGAAGACCTTTTTTGGGTGTCAGCAAGCCTAGCTGGCTTGACCTCGGAGGTGTAGTTGTTTAGAAGAGAGCAAGATTCGAACTGGAAGTGGTAGGAATAAACTTCTACCAACTATGAGCGTTTCATATCCAACCAAGGAGGGGGGGGGCAGCTAAGGTGAGGGATATGATGTAAACTTAAGATTCTGATAAATGAGGCTGGTTGATCAGATCATTTGTGAAAGCACTATGGTTAGCAACAAAACAGATGATGTAGATAGCGGTCAATCTCTATCCTTGTGTAGACTGTCCAAGCGAAGCGTAACCAGAAAAGCATGGCGTCAAATGATGGAAGAACGAGCTGAGGCAGCGTGAACAACACGAGCGCCACATATAAACATGAGTCATCTATAAATCAGAAATACTAAGAAGCTGAAAATATCGAAAATCATCGAGGGGTTTCCTCTTGAAAATATCGAAATTCATCAAGATACTTTGCCGAATTTGTGGGAAGGGCTGGGGCTTAGTGCGTTCATGCCGATGATGGCCATCGGGTGCTAGCTGTAAGCTATGGTAAGTTCCTGGAAGTAAATCGAATAAAAAAAAGCTTTCAACCTCTGCACGTTTTTTCTTATTTTTTATTTAGTTATAGTTTTTTGGTCGCAAAGACCTTCTGTGTGTCTGTTCTACTCGATCTTGGGAAAAAAATCACCCGCGTCCTATACTCGTGAAATTAGGGTAAAATGCGCGCTGTCGTCGACGTGTTAAGAATCAGTAGTTCAATAGCACTTGAGTTAAGTTTTTGGTTAATGTGTGCATTCCTTGTAATCAGCACATTCAAAATCTTGCCAATATGCACTCCCAAACTGCATTTGCATTGAAACCCCATTGACTTCACTTCACATCGCTCATAACTATACTGCTTTCGGCATCTGTAAAGCGCTTCTGGGAGAGGAGTTCTTCGAATTTTCTGGGAAAAATTCAATAATAAGGCTAAGACAAATATAGGTGTTGGGGTTTTTTCGGTGCTTGAGATGAGTACTGACTGACATGAGTTCATTAGATTGGAAGTCTTTATTCCACAGAACGCCCTGGTAGTAATTATGGCCCCGCTGGAACTCACGGACCAAGATTCTGAATTTTGTTGTAGCAACGCTTCAAATTTTTGCATCCAAAAATTTCCATAACTACACTCCCAGAAGCGCTTTGCAGATGCCGAAAACAGATTTGGAATCAGCGTTTCATGCTCTATAAAATAGTGTACATCTTATATGGAAAGGCCACTTCCACCAAGTATCCTTCCCTTGTAAGTGAATAATACTACTATTTATACACTGTATACCGACCTCTTTCCTTCCGAACCTAATCTCAGGTGATGAAATTTTTCAACTTTGTCTTCAGAATTTCCATAATTTAGGACGGAGGTGGATCCCCGCTTCATTTTCTAGAGCTTGCTTTGCTCTGTCGAACGGTGTTCTAAGTCTGTTGGAAGCTCCAGAAAAGTCTGATTTATTTGAAAGAAAAAGGCTGACTTTGAAAGCAACCTAAATAGGTCGTGCATCACATCATTACCAAATTTCACTCCAACAACTCCTATAGAAAAATAAAAACTTTGAAGATTTCAAAAGACGACTGTAGACAAAATATTGATTGCCTCAGGAACTATTCTCACTGAGTTAGTCCTAGAAAATGGCAAAAGGGTTGAAAAGAATCAAAAAGGTAATTCATCTACAAAGAGTGCTTGTTCTGCCACCGCTCCTAGTTGTGAGAGTAGATCGCAAATATCAATGACGGTGAAACCTTTGTATAGAGTCTCACCACAGTCTATCACAACATTGTAATATACAGGTCCAGAAGAGGAGTGACATCCTCTGCAAACAAAATATTACTGGTAATACCCTATTATTACAAATGCTTTCACCTCAACAAATCACATGCCCACCAACACGGACTCAGGGCCATTCCCCATTGTTTGACTTTGAGGCACTGACTAAGATTCTGCGCGGCATAGTACACTCCTTCAATCCTTGCTGTATCAATTTCCTAAACGAGAAACACTGAAAGAGATATTTGTAGCCAAGAAGCTTACTCTTACCTTACAAACGCCTGTAGGGAAGTAGTAACATTTGATGCGTAAGCAATCCGGTGTGAGTTCACACCACTTATCTTCATAAAGAACTTTCTCCATCTAAATAATTTCAAGATCGAACCTATTGAAGAAAAGCCCAGGAACTTCATCAACTTTCCACATTGTACAGGGTGTCCCAAAAAAATGTGAACACTGTTTGATCGTCAATAACTCCGTTGTTTTCACGTCTTTCGCCGAGCTTGAGGCACCATTCTGTGGAGCGAGGTTCAACTTAGATTTGTAGTATGGAGCGAATCACCGATCGCTGTCGTTACTGTAGGATTATGGTATGAACTTCTGGCATGTAGATTTGTTGTAAAATACGCCATTTGACCAAATTTGTCCAAAAAATCTGAAAAATTGTGTACTAGGGATTTCATGCGCGCTGATTCCATTAGACAACTTTTTACGAGTGTTTTTAGCTTTTTTGACGGTGTAGTCACATTTCTGACAAACGCTAGAAATTCAGGTATTACGGTTTAAATAGGATAACCTTGGAAAGAAGCATCACAGTAAAATGGAAATTTCATACTCGAAATTGGCGTCTTCCATTACCATAGTTTAGAAGTTTTTGGGTTGTTTGGTTTTGTTCCGAGGCAGAATATGGCCTACAATGGCCTAAAATCCTTGTCGAAGTTCCTACCGTAATGCTACAGTAATGAAGAGCGGTCGACGATTCACTCCACACTGTAAATCTAAGTTAAACCTCGCTCTAAAGAATGGTGACTCAAGCTTGGCGAAAGACGTGAGAACAAGGGAGTTATTAACAATCAAACAGTGTTCACATTTTTTTTGGGACACCCTGTATAATGGATTGATAATCCTTGCTTAATTTTTTAGGCTGTTGATACACGAATACCCTGTGTATCACTGCGAGTGGGTGGTGGGTGGGGACTTGGCTCTGCATCTTTCTCGCGGGCATGCTATCTATCTGTTTTTCAGGCTCAACATCGAGCTCCACCCTCACCCGCCATTCCTAATGAAACAGAGCATACATAAAGCCATGCGGAGAAATGGGTTGATTCAGATGACATCCTCATACCCTTACTACCCTTCTAAGCAACAGCGCAAAGCTCTGTCTTTTAGCCCTCAGAAGCCCTCCCTTTAGACAGGGCATCTCAAAAATATCTATACACAATAATACAAATAACATTCATTTATATAGGACTAGCTGGCTTACCCGGCTCCGCCGTATCCGGACCAAACTTGGCACACATACACTTCGGGCCCCGGCGGGTGTCACAGTCCACTTTTCGTTATCGATCGATGTCCATTTTACCGATTTTTATCGATTTTTTTGCAGAGTTCACCTACAGGGCTAGGAGTTGGCACAGGGGGGAAGTGAGCATGGGGATTCCGAATACAATATTAGTTTTCAGAATCATCGATTACTTTTATTGATTTTATCGATTTTTTGTAAATTTTGACATGCGAGGCTGGGATTTTGCACAGGGGGGTAATCGAGCATGCTGATTACGAACACAATATTAGTTTTCAGGATCGTCCATTACTTTTATCGATTTTATCGATTTTTTTGTAAAGTTTGACCAGCGGGGCTGGGAGTTTGCACAGGGGGTAATCGAGCATGTAGATTACGAATACAATATTAGTTTTCAAGATCGTCCATTACTTTTATCGATTTTATCGATTTTTTGAAAATTTGAGCTAGGGGGCTGGAATTCGGCACAGGGGTGTAATCGAGCATGCTGATCACCCCCCTTGGAGATGATCAGCATGCTCGATTACCCCCCTGTGCCAACTCCCAGCCCCCTAGCTCAAACTTTGCAAAAAAATCGATAAAATCGATAAAAGTAATCGATAATCCCGAAAACCAATATTGTATTCGGAATCCCCATGCTCGATTACCCCCCTGTGCGAACTCCCAGCCCCGTAGCTCAAACTTTGCAAAAAATCAATAAAATCGATAAAAGTAATCGATAATCCTGAAAACCAATATTGTATTCGGAATCCCCATGCTCGATTACCCCCCTGTGCCAACTCCCAGCCCCGTAGCTCAAACTTTGCAAAAAAATCGATAAAATCGATAAAAGTAATCGATAATCCTGAAAATCAATATTGTATTCGGAATCCCCATGCTCGATTACCCCCCTGTGCCAACTCCCAGCCCCGTAGGTGAACTCAGCAAAAAAATCGATAAAAATCGATAAAATCGATATCGATCGATGACGAAAAGTAGCCTATGACACGCGCCGGGGCCCGAAGTGTATGTGTGCCAAGTTTGGTCCGGATCGGTTCAGAAATGGAATTTTCTATTCGGAACATACGTACATACATACATACATACATACAGACAGACAAACAGACATTCAGCTTTATATATAAGATTGTTGATGTCTCTTTTCCCGCAATTATAGAACTGGCTCAACCTGATGCACAGTATGGAGCGAATGGTCGATCAATTTTCAGTACTGTAGAATTATGATGCTTCCAGCATACTGCGCTATTATAAATTCGACCATTCCAGAGAAATTTCCAAAAATGTGAAAAGTTGTGTAGCAGGGTTTTCGCGCACACTGACTTTATCACTTAGCTTCTTGTAACTCATTCAAGCTTTTGTAATGGTTCAATCACATTTTTAAGGAACGATGAAATAACAGCTTTTACGATATACCAGCTTAATATTAGAGTGCAAGCTTCACATATCTGCGATCCTGATTGGCCTGCTACAGAAGCTTATACCTTTTCTCGTTTATTTTCTAATGGGTCAAAACCCTTCCTGATTTTTACCGTGATCCTATGCAATCAACAATTCGCATTACATTGTAAATCTAAGCTAAAGCAAGCTCCACAAAATGGTACCGAAGTGCCTGATGACGTTGTAAGAAGAGAGATACATTGTGTACATACTTTTGGGACACCCTGTAGATTGTATGGCCTCGGGCAGAGTTCATGCGATTTTCGTCGCGATTTAAATTCTACAAGACAAGTGTTACGAGTTCAGTGCATGCCGGTCATCTTGTATTTCGGTTGTGATAGTCACGATTAGTCGTGTTGGAAAACTATCACATCCGAAATGCAAGAAAATCGGCATGCAATGATATTGTTACAGTTGTCTTGCCGCGATCAAATCGCGACGATTAAATTGCATGAACTCTGCCCGAGGCCTATTACAGATGTACTTGTTATCTGAAATTCAACTCAAGCTATCCATAACTCTTTTTAGAAATGATCGCGCAAGCATATAAAGTGTAGTACAACTATCATATCCTTGCCGGGACCGCTGGTACTTGAAAGTTGCAGCAAAGAGAATTTCCTAGCCCATAAATTGTCAAGTAATCTTACTTAAAAACTCTATTCTATTTGAGAGACCATAGCTCGATCTGAGCTTCTTCATCGTGTAGCCGATGGTCCGCTGAGATGGCGATGCTTATTGTTAGAGACTCGCAAATATGCAAAAGAAGTAACTGCAAAAAGTTATTCTAACAAAAACCCAACTGCTTTGGTGGCAGGGAAACGCATTTCTAAATGTTAATTTTATTGCCTTTTACAATCAAGGATTCTCTTTGACTTTGAATGTCAAGGGCCCAGTTTGTTATACAGAGCAAAAGCTCCGTAATCGCAAAACCATGAATTTTTCGACAATTAAAGAGTGCATTGACGGGCCATGTTTATGCTAAACACCAAACATTTTCCCTTTGTGAAACAATTCCGTCTCTTACCTATAGGATTTGAATAGGTTCCATCTAAAATAGCAATCAAAAAAGAATGAAAAATGAGCAGAACTTCTGAAAAGTAACTCAACAATACTTGTCTTACTATCGTGTTTATCATGCAAAGACTCAAAATCACTGGAGATGGATGCGATACATATTTGCTTTCTGGAAATCTATGCAGGACTTCGTAAGATTTTCAAAAAAAAATAGGGAGAGTGTTATGATTTAGCTTCATTGAAGAACATTTTCTTTTTTCAACATACCAGTCAATAAGTAAACCACTCCTGTTAATAGAGAGTCATAGATAGCGGTGAAACATGACCAATTACATTATCGCAGTGTGAGAAAAAATTGGAGAGAAATCAATCCTCCCCCGAGAATGGGTTGCGAAATTTTTGAAAGTTACTTGAATGCATTATAAAAATGTACAAGTGACTTGTTTATACTTGTAAATAACTCAAAAAATTTTTTAAAAATTTTTAAAAATCCAGACTAACCTTGTAATTAGTTTTTCGGGGGCGCGGCTGACGCCACGCCCTTTTTCCAAAATTTTGGACTTATGAGCTCTCGAAAATCTTAGGAAGCATAAAAAATTTTCCGGAGTGCGTGGCTAACGTCGCGCACCTTCTTCCAAAAAAATCTTTGTCACCCCGTCCCCTCTCCCAAACGGAAATCGTGGACACGCCACTGCAAGCCGGTGATTTTTTATCCTAACAAATGGGCTAAAACTCCCAAAGCGTGCTGATTGATAGGATTGAAATTTCTCGCGAATCCTGTTAGCGTTAAACTCACCCTCCACTCAGATTCTCGACTTTCAGATTTTGTCGTTTCAGGGCCTTCTCATGTCCCTGATTCCGAATAGGAAGTCGAGAATCCGCGAGAACCCCGACAATTCTCGTTCTGGAAAGCTCACAGGCCGGTGCCGTCTGGGAGTCCTCATGCATCTCCGTTATTCCGAAGCGATTTTCTCGCTTCCGAAGCGACATTTTCCGCCGTTACGATATTGGCTTGATAGGGGACCCTACTACATGCTGCCAAAAGCTAAAGACCCTCAACTAAGTGTGAAGTGTCTTCAAAGGGCTTCTCAAAAGCATTCATTCATACGGAGCTTAGCTTAGCAGTGCAATTATCATGTACCAACTCTGAAAAGCTCCAAAAGTAGCGCACTCAAACTGTAGAAGGTCTCTGAAAGATTATTTCTATGTGCCAAGTAATAATGAACTTTCACGAAATTTGAATTCTCTGAATGGAGTTACAGTAAGTTTCACCTCAGTTTAGGCGGAAAATGGACTGGCGGGAGTCCGCTTCGCAACGATTCGCGCCGCTTTGAAGTCTGCGTCTCTTCATTCTAATGTATCTCGCTGAGCCAGTGGCGGTGCGGACGCGCTGCTTCACTTGAATGTTTCGCCTACTCCGGGTTGAAAAAGACTGTAGTTTATTGTTGCAAGCAAAAGCCCATCATATTGTATGGGAGCAATCGAGTTCATTACTGTAGAACCACAATTACAATCAAACTTGGATTAAGCCGCAAATGATAATACATCAATGAGTATTTCCCTCTGAAAGCGCACCATTGTAGCAAATACCTCGGGGGTGTGGGCAACCGAAAAACCTCAATCACATTCGTCTAATGGGTCGAGAAATCATCTACAGCTTGCATCGCATCAGCTGCTCTAGATATTGTATTGCATATGTTTGGAAAGTGTATGCAAATAGTACAAAGTTGTTTACCAACAGCATGTTCACTATCTTCAAAACAGCGCTGAGAGAAACAATCTTGAATCCTTATAGTCTCTAAACTGTTCAGTTGCGACCCCTCAAATGTATAGGCTGCAACGAAGAAGGCGCAATATTTCTGGGCGCAAACGCGGACTTATTAGTCGCAGTGCGCGTGACGGCAGGAATTTACAGTGAGTTCCAATCTTGTTTAGGCAGAAATTGGAATGGCGGATCCGCTTCGCAACAGTACGCGGCGTTCCGCAGCTACAGCCATGTCGTACCAAGGACCCATGCTTGCGTCTCCTCATTGCCTTCAGTCTTTACTTGGCAAAATGCCAGGGCGTCCGCTCGCAAGCCTCCAGCGATGGGGAAGCGCTGCCTGCTACAAATGCTTCGCCTACTCCGAAAGAAACATAGTGTACAACGGTGAGGATACGTGCGCGCCGCATTCACACCCGCTCAAGTACAATTCGTGTCAATCACATGTTCTCTTTTCTGTAACGAAATGAGCTTCGCGCCACTTCGCGCACGTGTGGCTGGGATATTCAAATTGGTCTCATCGATTGGAGGTCCGAACGCAAGACCCTTGCGTTGCGCATGCGTCGTTCTCTACGAAAGGGAGTACGTAATTGACATTGACTATAAGACTGCTTCTGCGCCTTTGTCATGGCATAGCCTTCGACTTCTACAACTTCTTGGATTCTTGTACAATCGTCAAAGTGGCTCTTTTCATAAGAAGACAACAGCATTGCGGAGTTTTGGAATGACCATCTGGTAAGAAGACTGCTCACGGGCCCAACTCTTCACCACTTGAACGTGAAACGGTGGGCTCCCACTCCCCTCGCCCTCTCCTCCCCCCCCTCCTCCTCCTCCCGTTGACTACTGTCTTCTATCCTTTCGCTCAGCTCGCGCTTTGGTGCTCCTAAAACGTGCGTATCCCCCGTACACGAGCTTTTTTGCAAAATTACTTTCGATAAACGTTCCATCCTTCCAATTAAGATCAGCTTGAAGACCGAAATACACGAGAGGAGCTTCCCTACAACGGCAATCCCCAACCGCCGCAGCAGCACTTGCGGTAATCAGCCTATCTCTGTTGCTTTAGCTTGTTTTTGCATCGGATGCAAGCTGAACGATAAAAGTCATTTGGACTTTGTTTGGAAGAAGTGCTGATAGCTTGTATGTTGCATTCTCAAAACAACAAAATCCCATAAGTCATTTATCGAACGAAGTTGTCTAAGCCATGGTATAGCACTTGGCATGCAATCGCTCTATCAAAGTTTTGATTCCTGAAAATGTGTCATTCGAGCTGAATTTAATTTTAAAAAACTTGCGCTTTTAAAAAAGAGCCAGCGATCAAATACAAACAGGGTAAATAATATGATTTGGCATTGTGTGCAATTACTGTGACTGAGAATGCAAAGGTTGAATTTGGGCAACGCCGCAGGCATTCCATCGCTCATGAAATTCTTACAGAAGACAAACGCGCCGAAGTTGTTCTGCAGAGTACATGTATTGTAAGGGTCAAACCACAGCACTTCAGCAGGGATTTTTTCAAGAACCTGAAAGTCAATGGAACTCTTCTAAAAACGAATCTCCATTGAAGCACCACGCGTTCAACATAATTTATGACAAATGAATTGAAACTATACAGAGATGCAAATAATGAATATTACCTAGATTTTAAGCTTCAGAAGTTTGCTTGCGAGATACGCAATGTGGAAAGGACAGCCGATTCATCACCGTGCCACCTAACTCATGGCATATGCACATTTCTGTACAAAATATTATATGATTAACCAGAAAGATTGGCTAGAAAGAAACTGGGGATGTAACTCGGATAAGAAAATAAAGGCCATACAACAACAACAAAAACATCTTGTCTTGAAACTTGGCACAAGGTTTACATGTCGGCTAACGATGGCATATCCGCAGTGTTTCTTTTGTTTTGACCCTCGTGCCATGCTTTTCGGATTGTCCTTTTCATTTCATCATCTCCCTCCTCATACATCTGCTTCATCATGTTCATTAACGACGCCTGTGGATCGTCGTCCATCGACTTTTCGTCGAACTTTGGTTTTCTGAATACTCGTGGCTAAATTAATACTTCAGAATTACAACAGATATCACTACCTTTTCTGTTTCTCATCATATTCTAGTTTTGTAAGCTGTTCCCACTTCTTTCCTTCTGTTTTCTTCTTCATCATTACTAAGAGCATATCCTGCTTCTGCTGTAAACAAGCAATATATTGAAGCGAACAGATTCCAAGGTATCGTCGATTCGTTGACCGCACGGTCTGCTCAACCCCTACGGACCACGCACGGCGCAGCTGAATTTTCGCGAAAGCACGATTCGAACAATGGCGAATTTGTAGTGGGGCAAGCGCTCTATTCGCGGCGCATGCTCCGCAGTGATGTCCAGTCCGTGCGGTCAACGAATCAACTATATAAAGCATCCACAAGCCGAGGCAATTAAATCTTATCGTTAGAGCTTTCTAAAAACCTTTCCGCTCTATCCTCAAAGATTTCACGTGGAATGGAGAAGTAAAAAGGGGTATAATTTTAGAGGTGATATCAAAGTCTCCAAAATATACATACTAACTCATATCACCCTTCAAACAATATCTGTGGCTCCTATGGGATGGGATATTTTGCATCAAGTACTTACGAGATGCAGCCGTATAGTGACATTCTGCCAGTACGTGTCATTCAAGCTAAGAACTGAGCGTGACAGTAAAGCTTCACAATAGAACTCAAATATAGAGTTTCCCAGAAAAAATTTTTTCATGATCGCCGATGTTGTCTGTCTTTTCCTAATTTTTATGTACCAATCTGTAGAACTGGCGTCAAGCTAATAGTATAAAGCAATCCATACATCCTTCAGGGTGCGTTCATACCGATTCGCAAGTTCAGGAACAATTCCAGCACAGCCTTAGTTCGAGCACTGTGCTAAATGTTCCCAAACTTCCGGGTCAGTATGAATACAGCCTCAAGACTTCAAGATTACGACAGAGACTCTGAAGAGGATTTGCACCACTGAGAATCAGATCTTGCCCCAAAAAAGACTCCAGAGAAGAAGCAGTTTGTAAGTATGTTAATATAAATTGTTGCTGTTCGTAACGACCATTTTTATAAATCACGCCAGGCGCACCTATAGCAGTGTTCCCGAAAACCATCAAAAACCTGATTTCACTATCTAAACTGCTTTATGAAGATGACATAGTATTTGTTGAAATCAGCGCCTCCAGAACTCCACTACAAAGGAATTGGGTTTTTTGACGGTTTTTGAATTTGCGGCTGAAGCTTAAACACCGTCATTGTATAAGTTTCTAATGTATAGTAACAATGTGAGAATGGTAACTCGTTCATACTGCACTTTAGGCTGAAACAAGCTCAACTGAATGGCATAATCCAATCCACGAAACCAAGGCAAGAAAGATAGCAACGGTCAAACAGTAAAGCATTGTTTTAGGACACCCTATGTGGTACTAAATGATTGATCCAATGGACAGAACAGATTTCGCAGTCGTTGCACCGTTTGCCACAGTACCCCCTAGCGAGCCCAACAGGGTGTTCGTGGCGGGAACCAGCGGACCAGCGTACTTGCGAACTTCAAAATGAACCTAATGCAGAATCAGTTCTTGTCCGAGGTTTTGGGCGTACAAGAACTACAAGGACATCAAAAGATGAGCAGTTTTTTTCGCACCTAACACAGGTAATGTATCATACGCAGATTCTGAGTCTATTGCTTTCAGAACCGTTGTCTAAATTGGCATATTCGTAGTTGCTTTGTTTTTTTCTCTTACAGCCCTGGATCATCGTTCTTTCTCTCTTTCAAGGTTTTTCTACTAGGATAACGAGCGTATCAATGTTTCAATGAAGGTTCCCTAAGACTTATATTCCGGTCACCCCATTCTTCTAGTCTGAGTTTTCGCCATCTACATGGCGAATGCTGTTTTTTTTTTGTTTCAATCCCCTCAATTGTAATGAGACGTAAATATGATTATTGATATTTCTCACCTTCACTCCCTTCAGTTCCTCAGAGAAATCCTATCATAAGCTCTAACACTGACGATGCTAGCTAGTCAGTGTACTACCTACCGGCTACTATTCAGTGAGTGTAACTTGAGTCGATGTGTAATCTACGATCCAGAGGATCAGCAACACATCATATCAATTCCAAGACCACTTTATGCAATTAGTAAGATTAAAGAAAGTAAGAAGGAACACATTTTGTGGTCGCATTACGTTTACTGTAAGTTAAGTCAGCGCCGCAATCCGAACGAATTATAGTTTCCCTTCGGATGCAGCCTTACGTACAAATAGTGACAAAATGCGAAGAGAAAAGGCTGCAGAATGACAGTGATCATGGGCGCAGATAGCATCGCAGGTTCTTTTTGAAGTTCGCGAGTGCGCGATGGTCCTGCCAGCAAATAGCGGCTTTCGCTTTGCTACGAACGCATACAGTTCCTAAAGCTGTTGCGTTAGACTGTACGTTGGCATGAGCTCAGGGTCAATGGATGGAAGGACCTCAGCAATAGTTAAATTGTCACACTATCTTGAGTTCTCAAGGTTATACACGGTGTAAGATCCAAACTCATGTCGTCACTCTTCCTTGAACAAGACAATAGGTAAGCTATACTAGGTTATATGGTAAGATATAGTTTTCAGCACCTATCCAGGTGATGTTATACAGCTCAACAACTCATCAAGAAGGGCAAAACTCCGAACATCCTTAGTGCGACATTTATTCTTGGCTTTTACCAGCACCAGTTTCCGGAAGATGCTTCAAATAGAAAATAAACAGAATAACAGCTATTTTTTTCGATTTCCAGAAGTATCACCCACCTAAATAGGTCTGTTCAGTTTCTATGTATGATACATCGAAACCTTGGACTGATCTAATCCACACTTGATGGGAAAAGACACCAATTTTCAGTAGTCAGTTGAGCTAAGGGCAATTACGGTGAAATGCAAAGTGGGGTCGAAATGCGTATTTTCCCTAAGTATTGATCCTAGTGCTTTGTTGAGTAAACCACAAGGTCAAACTCTTAACGATAACTACGCAAATGCAATTTCAACCAGGGACGATGTGATTAACTCGGCTGCGAAACCAGTGAGTTGAACGCGGTCCTGCCACGAACAACCTGTTGGGCGCTATAGGGGGTACTGTAGCAAACGGTGCAACGACTGCGAAATCTGTTCTGTATCCAATGGCAGCAAAGTAGGTAGATAGTAAAATGAAATAAACGGCACAAACCTTAATCTGACTGGATTCAGGCACGATTTCGTCGCGTAAGCCTTTCATAGTCATGGTGTAATTTTTACCAGAGAAATTGGACACCGTGATATCATAGCCGCTGAAGAGATGTCGATGTATGATGCTCAAGATGAAGGAATGGCCTACTAGTTGTAAAAGCTGTGATGGATTGTAGTTGGATTAACATCTTGAACTCCCTTCAGTGTTATGTACACTTTGACGAACTTGTCCGACTCGTCCCAACCTGAACCAACAGCCATGAAAAAAGCATTAAACGTATCTTTCTAGTCTTCACAATATTCGCAGCATTATACAACAGTATAAGAAAACAGTAAATGATTAAAACTCGTATACATACGCACCGTAATTTGTGACTTTCACAGTCGGAAGACTCGAAGGAGACGACTTCTCAGCATTCACCGGCTTAGAAGCAGATCCAGTTGGCTCAGAATTTAATGTCTGAGACTCTGACAGCTGCAAATTGAAAACTCAGCTTATATGGAAAGTTTGAAGGAAAAGAGATACCTTTTTCAACTCTCTTTCTGTCTCTTCTATCTTGCACTTGATCCAGCCTTGAATGTTTGGTCTCTGAGAAACTCGCAGAAGTGACTGTAGTTCAGCAATATCCGAAGTAAGCTAAAACTTCCTCACAATGCAAATCAAAGTAAACAGATCTGAATAAGATAAAATGGCAGATAATATAAATACCTCTTCTGTATTCATGCTGTGGTTGAAGTATCACAACTGAGATCTCCTGAACAAAAATCTTGATAGTGATAGGGTGAAACAGGAAAGTAATAGGCAATTTACGAGCATTGTGTACATATCAGAAACCATGCGCATACTAAGCGAAGAGGAAGAAAAGGCAAAAGGCAAAAGCTTTAATTCATGTCCACAAATATTCCAGAAAGTTGCTCCAATACGTTTGCATTTGCGCAACTTTTCGGGATAGAGCGGGGTATGACAATGCTTTTCCAATTAACCGATATAACCATTCAATCAGTCCGAATTGTTGCGGCCGGTTGTTTGATGGTGCACAACTCTTATGGGCGAAGTCTCAAGCGATCGGAGCAAACTCTCGCAAAAGAAGAAATGTATACGAATTGGTTGCATCATAGCAGCACTAGTGATCGTTTGTCTAGTGGTATCAATTGCTATCTATTTGACAATTACTATCGCTCCAGAGGAAAGTCAGAAACTCGGAGGGAAAAATAAAACAGTTCTTCCAGAAGCCACGAGCTCCAAAACTGCGAATTTTACTGAGGAGGAAAAGTATGGTTATCAAAGTGCTACGACTTCCACGAAGGCGCCCTTCACTGATGTGTTCAGTCATCTAACTGGCAGTACCATCGGTATCTTACCGGTATCTCAATGTCCCCGAGCAGCAAAATATGGAAAAGGACCACCATCCAAGTGTACCATGCCATCAGACCCCAATAATCTACCTCCGTCTGGTATAAAAAAATGGTTTACCAAAGAAACTTTCAATGACCTATTTCCATTCGCAAACCTCGGTTGGGGTTCAAATCCATGCTTTCCATACTCCTACGAGTCTTTCGTCATTGCCGCGAGATACTTCCCAAATTTCGGAACTAGCAGTCCAAATTCGATCTTTACACCGATGGAGAACACACGAAGAGATTTAGCTGCATTCTTTGCTCACGCTGTACAAGAAACAGGCGAGAATAATGCTGCACTTTATAGTGGCCGTTCACCAAGCGATGCATCTGACTGTTTCTACAGAGGTGGTTTCTACAACTGGTTTGAGGGTGGCCCAGTCAGCTCGTTCCTAGACCAGAGCTCACCTGGCTATGACCCGAAAGATGGCGCTAAATGCATTGGAGCTGGAAGATATTGCGTTGCTGCACCTGACATCAGTTACTTCTATCCTTGCTCAAATGGTACCGATGGGAAATTCTACAAAGGATGCTATTTTGGCAGAGGAGCTATACAGATCTCCTATAATTATAACTATGGCCAATTTATGGACTTCCTGAAGACCAAAAATATAACCGTTGACCTTCTGAAAGAGCCGAATCTAATCATGACCAACATGAATCCACCACTTGCTATGCTTGCTTCCTTGTGGTTCTATATGACACCGCAACCACCAAAACCAGCTATGCATGACATTGTAATGGGAACATGGAACAGTGGACCTCGAAACGCAGCCGCTGGTTATACTGGTCCCATATTTGGACCCACCAGTCTTATCATCAACAATGAGTGCAATGGAGAGGATAAGGATGAGCCAGGAGGTCCCGGTGAATCTCGTCGTATCAAAGCGTTCAAATGGTTCTGCTCCTATTTTGGTGTACCAGCTGGAGCTGATAAGGTGCTGACCTGTAAAGATATGCCTGTGAAACTTGATGCTTTGCGATATAAATACAGTTATCAACCCGACTGGAGCAGCACATGGAGAGAAGAGCCGTGCAATTGTGCTCCAGCTGGATATGGAGGACTGATACCATACTTTGACCCTGCCTACTATCCACAAGAGTTCGTCCAAATGAATGAACGCAATCGACTTCGATGTGTGGCTAGCGTTTACGATAACCCATCCATGTACAGCCTCAATAACTTCACATCTCCTTGCCTTAATCACTGAACTGATGCTTTCGACACTGGCACTTTCTGTACCTCTGAGCAACTTCCTTTCAGACTGTAATTTATCTTCTTGTGTGTAAATAAGTATCGCGTGCTTTCCTACATCTGCTTCGTTGTATATTCTTGATTCTGTTGTTCATAAAAGCAGTAATATCGCGAGCTGGGTTTGATGGTTTGTTTCAGCACAAAGCCAAGAGTTGCTAGAAACGACGCCACTGCCAGTGAGATAGAGGGTGTAGAGACTGGACTCTATATGCAAGAAGTAGCTATGATTTCCTTCATCTGAGAATGATGGATTATGCAGAAGAAGATTAGGCAAAGAGAACAACATTCTAGAAAAACGAGAGACCATTTCATGCTTGTTTTGATTTTGATTTTTATGCAAGAACTATAATATGCACACCAATATATCAAGATACACTGATACCTTTTATGGGGAAAATTATTTATGTTCCGCAAACTTGCTGCTACGATTTTCTCGCATCTGCGCTTTTGCATGAGGAAAGTTTGTAAATACGAGAGAATTGTATAAATTTCCGACCAACATTCATCAAGCGGGTATTGCCTGTCGATAAGAATTATTTAGCAACCTCATCTGGAATTATTCAGCAACCTCATCTGAGTAACTGTAACTCTTTGTAACTCGAGATTTCCTCGGTTTCCGAAAAATTATAGGAACACAAACTTCACCAGAAAAGAAACATATCCAAAGCTCAATCGAATTCAACCAATGTGAATGAAGCACTGTAGCGATTAATTTCCTGGAAATATCCCAGTAAAACTGAAAAATTGTGTTTCCTAGCCTTTGGTTTGCTAAACGAGGTTTTTTCTTCATTTCCGCAGAGTTCTGAAAGCATTTTTTTATTGAGCTCATTCTATTTACGATTAAGTTCAAAAAGTTCACGAAAGCTCTTGAAGTTAAATAAAAATGAGGAACCGCGCTTGAAAATTACGCACAGAGTCGCGCACAAAAATGTTGATATACAGTGACTGCCAAAAAGTTGCGGACAAGCCTCCTTCCTTTTTTCATCGCTCATTTTCGGATGAAATACAAAGATGAAAAAATGGTTGGGTTGCATGAAATGATAGCGCCCTCCAGGAGCTACAACCCACACATAGCGCTTTTTGGAGAATATGTACTTAAAAATTTAGAATCTTTTTCTAAAGAAAGCCCGAAAATGGCGGCGTCACAACGTCGGCAACAATTCCTCGAGCGCTATAATTCTCCTTCAGGTCTTCGTTTGGAGCAAGAACTGAAGTTTTCCTGATAGGTAAGCATACTATATTATGGAGGAAATCCAGGACAATGATCAAGTAGTGGTTAATTCCAGAAAAACCGAAGCTTTTTCCCTTTTTTTCAAATAACTTCTAATTACTTTTTTCAAGCCTAATTTCACATGGAAACCTACTCAGACAACCGAACAAAGCTGTTCAGATAAAATGGATGCTCTTTGCCATTCTCTATGCATCGGACGTGTGCTGGTGAGTTTCTTTGCTGAAAATAGCTCTTGATAGCGCATACACATGACCCCATCTGCACTTCACCACTGAATTTGCACTGCTCTGCAGGCAGTCACTCTACGAGCTTATGGGTAGGCTCATTCGAAGGACTTTTCATTTTGAAGCTCTGACACTGTTCTGATGTTGACAAGAGCTTTCACCCCAATCACCTATAAGGTATGACAGGCTCGACATGAAGGTATGCAAATGAGTTGAGTTTGGGAAGTCCCGAAGATTTTACGGATGGGGTGAAAAAGCGTAGCCTTATAGGTGATTGGGGTGAAAGCTCTTGTCAACATCAGAACAGTGTCAGAGCTTCAAAATGGGTCTATTACAAAAAATTGACAGTTTAAAATCTCTAGGATGGAGCTGGTAGCGAAAGGAGCTCTGTTCAACCGTAGCTGAAAATTCCGTAGCCTACTACGGAAGCTGCGGTTTTTCACCCCATCCGTAAAATCTTCGGGAGTTCCCAAACTCAACTCATTTGCATACCCTCATGTCGAGGAAGTCACGCTCTTTCGAAACAGCCTAGGCTCGTAGAGTGACTGCTGGCCGAGCTACGAGCCTGCAAAGCAGTGTAATTCAGTGGTGAGGTGCAGATGGGGTCATGTGCATGCACTGCCAAGAGACATTCAGCAAAGAAACTCACCAGCATACGTCCGATGCATAGAGGATGTATGCAAAGGGCATCCATTTTATCTGAACAGCTTTGTTGGGTTGTTTGAGTAGGTTTCCATGTGAAATTAGGCTTGAAAAAAGTGATTAGAAGTCATTTTTTAGAGAAAAAAGCGAAATAAAATCTAAACTTAGGTTTTTCTGAAAGTAACCACTACCTGATTATTGTCCTCGATGAGCTCTATAACATAGTTTGCTTAAAGTCGACTGCACGAAATTGCCCGGGTCGCTGGAGGCTGAAGGGTGGAGGGGCGAACACCTCAATTAGGTACCGCCTCCGAGGACCATTGGTCCCAACAGGGTGGATAACAGTGGACGAAAGAATCAGCATCCCGCGGAGGAGGTACTTAAAGGCAGTGTCCGGGCAAAAACTCGATCTTGAGATTTTTTGCTTAACCGGGCCTATTCGCTACGCTGAATCCGAAAATCCACATTGGAAAGCGCGAAAACGGCGAAAAAGGGCTCTAACACAGGAGGGAAATCAGCAGGTGGGCGGGGCTTTCCCCAGTGCGATTTCACGCTCCCAGCTCCTGGAGCAATTTTCTCAAATCCGATGGCCGTCCTGACATCGCTGCCGGTCACGTGCGAATGATTGACTTGAAACCGGAACCGAGAATGTCGCTCCAGAAGCCGGGAACGTGAATTTGCAGTGGGGAGGACTCCGCCCACCTGCTCATTTCCCTCCTGTGTTAGAGCCGTTTTTCGCCACTTTCGCGCTCTACAATGTGCATTTTCGGGTTCAGCGTAGCGAATAGACCCAAGTAATGTGCTTTACCTGGGCCTATTTGCTGCGCTGAATCCGAAAATCCACATTGGAAAGCGCGAAAACGGCGAAAAAGGGCTCTAATATAGGAGGGAAATCAGCAGGTGGGCGGGGCTTTCCCCAGTGCGATTTCACACTCCCAGCTCCCGGAGCGATTTTTTCGATTCCGCTAGCCGTTCTAACATCGCTACCGGCCAAATGCGAATGATTGACTTGAAACCGGAAGCGAGAAGGTCGCTCCGGAAGCCGGAAACGTGAATTCGCGGTGGGGAGGACCCCGCCCACCTGCTCATTTTCCTCCTGTGTTAGGGCCGTTTTTCGCCATTTTCGCGCTTTCCAGTGTGGATTTTCGGATTCAGCATAGCGAATAGGCCCAAGTAAGCACAAAATCTCGAAATCGAGTTTTTGCCCGGACACTGCCTTTAAGAGGTCGTTCAGACCGCGCACAAAGGCGGACGAAGGTGCACAAAGGCGCACAAAGGCGGACGAAGGCGCGTCTCGTCTCGTCTCGTTTATCTCGAAACACACACACACACTCACACGCGCCTTCGTGCGCCTTCGTCCGCCTTTGTGCGGCTTCGTCCGCCTTCGTCCGCCTTTGTGCGCGGTCTGAAGATCCCTAATTGAGGTGTTCGTTCCTCCACCCGAGGCTGAACGCAAGCGAGCGTGCCTACAACGCGACTGCCGAGTACGGGCGCCATGATGACTCATGCCAATTTAACCCGCAAGAGACACGCACGCGGGCGTTCAATCCGGGCGATTCCGTGCAGTCAACTATATGTCCTTGAAACTTCTGCTTTTGCCCCAAACAAACACCTAAAGGAAAATTTTCGCGTTCGAAGAATTACTGTTTGCGACATTGTGACGCGGCCATTTTCGGATTTTTTCTAGAAAAAGACTTTCAACATTTTGGAACACACATTTTTTAGAAAGCGCAATGTGTGGGTTGTAGCTCTTGGAGGGCTCTATCATTCCATGCAACCCAATCATTTTTTTATCTTTGTTTACCATCCGAGTGAACGATGAAAAAAGGAAGGCGACTTGTCTGCAAATTTTTCGCGGTCACTGTATATACCGTTGGTGAGTGATTCTCAAGCTTGCGGCGCTGCTACTGCTCATAGTCGTGTCTTGACGAACAGAATGATTCATAATGTTGGGTTTCGTTAAAACCTTGTGGGAGCCCCAACGCGGGGCCCGTGGCATGTGGCCAGACTGTATGCCATACTAAAGCTGATCTCTACTTTCACGCTGACGACGCAAAGCCTATGTTTCGATTTGAAAGAGAAATCCTGCGAAAACCGGTTTATGAAAATTTCTTGTTTTTCTCTAGTTTGATTTTCACGCGGTTTTTCGTGCATTTGATAGACCTTGCTTCTGTCTTTAATGTAGAGAACTTCGAACATTGCTTCTCTGATTATGGCGATTGAAAAGTTCGAAAAACACTTTTTTCCCTTCTTATCTTTCAGTATTTTCGCAGCGATTTTTTTCCTACTTGGGCGACTATTGCTCGGAATAATGAGCGCAACAAACCAGGCAACGTCGCAGGAAACACAAACATCTAGAAGAGGGAAGAAATTTAGAGGACGCATCACTAGATTGGCTTTGACGTGCATTTCGACTTAGTGAAAACAAAACTTTGCGTTTTCATGACTGATTCTTTTATTGTTTATCTTGATGATCACCACTTCCAAAACATAGTTGTCTTGAAACAAACACTGAAAAGAAATTAGCTTTCTCCCCCCCCCCCCCCCCAAGATTTTGAACTGAGTGCGGCGTTTTTCTCCAGTTTTCAAGAGCTTTTTTTCCTTAGCTATCTGTTCTGCATCTTTTTCCGTCTCTAAATTTCTATAAACATCCTTCATTTTTTATGAGGGGCAGATAATCAAACAACCTTCACTTTTAAGGCCCTATCTCTAGGCTATAGGTATGGTCATAAAGATGTGCAAGCTACTTGTATATTATAAATATAATTTTGAATTTCTGAAAATTCGAACTAGCCTGTAAATGATATTTTTCGGAACGTGGGTGCGGCCATGCCCCTTTTCTAAAATTCAGGGGTTATG